AACATCTAAAATTGGTTTCGCCTGATCCCTTTCGAGATGATGTGGTAATTCCTCAAATACATTTTCAATATGTTTACCGATATCGTGTAATGGCTCAAATGGTAGGATCTCATAATTCTGGCAATTGATGGTCTCCAAGCCCTTGTTTGGTGTATGAAACAGCAACGCTGGAACTCTCTGGATGCCATGCAGTTCGTCAGTGAGAAGTTTCTCCAGTTCGTCTTTACGATTGCCTTCATAGATTCCTCTGGCCGACAATTCTCTGATAAGTTCTTGTTTTGATAGTTTTGCAAAAGGCTTGTTGTTTCTTTCCAGTGATTTCTTTTGGCCAATAGGCCCTTGCAAAACTACCTGTTGTCTCTCTGCTAGGGAGATGTATTTGGATCTTAGACAATACTCTAATTCATAGACCCGATGTGCATTAGCACCACACACAGGGCAGTAAAAGTGTCCACCTTTCTGCTGCCCACTTTCGTATTGCCTAGCTGGACTGTCTCCATGAAAGAATCGCATGACATCGGTCACTTCATTCCCATTTTCTGTACTGATAGGATCAGTTAATTTACAAAGACACTCTGTTCTAGTCTCAATGTAAGCCAACTGTTCACTATCAGCAGAGCTTGATCTGGCTATGATGTGAACTTGTGGTACTTCTACTTTGGCCTGCACATCTACTTCTTGCTTGGTCTTGATCTTAAATTCTTCATTTGTGTAGTAAACAGCAGGATCATATAGCAATGTCACCATGAACACCAAATGACTGTGGTTTGAAACTGTGGACAAATCATGCCAAGTCTTAAAGTGCCTTGTTCTTTCAATCCTAATTAATTTCTGCCTCAGACAAGAAATATCTTCATCTTTGGCTTCATTGTATTCACCAATTGCTTTTAAAGAACCAATTATATCGCTTTCACTCATTTCATAATATTGTTCGTCTGATTTTTCCCGCATGAACTCACTTGACTGTTCTAAAATCTTTTTTCGGATGTCTAGTAATGAGTGCTTTCTTCCTTCAACCTCAAACTCGGATTCAACTACTTGGCCATTATCATCCAGGGTCAATTTCTTCCACTATAAAGTGAACAAGCAAAAACTGATGCTAAATGATGAATCATATTAATTAATAGAAAAATTACACACTGTGCAGTATATACCCTTAGCTGCATGTGCTTTTAGTAGCCGCTTCTAGAAAAGAATTAATCTGCTATTTTGCAGAGGAAATTAGGCCAGTTGTGATCAGGGTTGTATAATTCAACATTATCGATAACAATGAAAGTGGCAGTATAAATGTGTGAAATGCTTTCTGATGGCCAGTATTCTGAAAGGAGAAATTCAATTTTAAAATACCATTGGGGGCCTGGAATCAACTATAATTTGCCAGCCCTGATGGGTAAATTTCTGGATTTTTGGGCATTCTGCTGACCAGTAATTATAATGATCATCAACAAAGGCCTATGCTAAACATCCTATACTTATGGCTATCAAGGTGCATGCACTAAACCAGTACAAAACATTTACAATAATTTAAGTACAGTACAGTTAAATGTCCTGAGTGGCAAAGCTAGCCATAGCAACAATTAATTCATGCTATGCAACTTTTAAGATTTGAAATATTCAAATAGCATATGTATGACCTGAGATATTCAAATAGCATATGTATGCCGGGATGGCTAGCTTTGCCTCTGAATCATGTCATACACTGTATGTAATATTGATTATTGCACATGACAAAATACCTTTTTTGGTACTATCAGTTCTCCCATGGTATATTCTCCAGATGTTATTTTTTCTTTTAAATTGCATTTTAAATTTTCATTTGTACTTGGAGTGGGTAAACTAATTTCTCCTCCAGCCCCTTTCAATTTCTTTCGTCGAGCTCGAGGCAAGTCAGAGTCAGATTTTCTTTTAAATTGGCCAATATCAACACCAACTGATTTCAGCCATTCTTGAGCTATTTGACCACCATTTCTTGCTGTTTCTCCACTTGTGTTTTTGATGTTGTAGCGTCGTGCCAAATCAGACCAGTTGATGAGTGTACCAACCTCATAACTCATGACTTCTTCTTTCATTTGCTGTTTGTCCCAAATAATATTCTCAAAGTTCCCAACTGGGCTCTTTACTTTACTATTTGGCACATTTGAGATCTTGTTGGGGGTCTTTTCAAATGCCATTGCCAGCCGTTCCCGTTGCCTTGCTCTCAATGATTGACGATTACCGAAACACCTATTAATTGATTCATAATTATATATAGTCTGTATTGTACTGTATATACAATAGGTGGGAAAAGTTGCTCACTCACAGCCAATTTAGACTAACATAATATTATATTTATATATAACATTTATAATTTGTATTTGCATATTTCACTTACTGTTGATACAGATTATTAGGCAATGGATTCACCACCCCAATTAGTAAATTGTTTTATGAAAAATCCCTGACATGTGTCCAGTATTAGTAGTTGTTTTCACTATAAATAAATTACTATGCACTACTAGTAAAATATAATTTATATAATTATAGTTCACTTGCCTGACCACCTCCGTCTCTTTCCACTTAGATTCCACTGAGAGCTTAGCCTTTTTATAACAGTCTCTCCTCTCCTTCTTTTTTTCAACTTTCGACTTCTTGGTTTGAAGATTCATCTCTTTGATCATGGCAAATGCTTCTCCCAGAGGAGTTCTATATGTCTGCTCAAAAGCAGGACTAAGTACGTCGTGAATTTTTTGGGCTGCTTGTTGGCATTCCTTTCGAGTGGCATTTATAGAAGCTGAGTTCGTGCGCATGTTAGAAGCAAGGTCTTGAGCAACAGCTATTGGGCTTCGCATTGAACAACCTTTGAACTCCTTTGAGCACACAGGGAAGAATGACTGATATACAGAATATCTGTGGAAGCACCCTTGACAGTTCATCAAGCTGTGTTCGGCCTTTCGTACTGCTGGTAACTTTTTCCAATTCTCGGCACTGAATACTTCTAAATATTGTTGACGTTCTTTCGTCTTGCGAGAATTCCAAGTGCTGAATTTCTTGCGCAGCGGCGGCAGCTTTCGTTGAAAGGTTTGTAAGTCTATACTGAATGTAGTACCGACGAACATGTTGGAAAATCGCGTATATGTCTCTTGTACAACACGCTGTTGATGTTGCTTTGGCGTAGCGTTCTCATCGCGTGTTATATTTGCGGTAACGGCTCTTGTAAACTCCCATGCGGCAGCTCTAGCAAAACCACACGTATGTGGATGAATTAAACTTATCATAATCACCAAAATGCGAGTAATATTTGCGAGTTTGCTCATTTGAGTTGAACGTCCTTACTTCAAGCGATTAGAAAATTTTGAATATGCCGCCAAAACTTGATTCCGCGCAAAATATGATAGCAAGGGCTAATATTAACTGGCAGTTAATTAACAACTCGATTTGTCACTGAATATTATGGATATATCAATACCTGTCCTGTTAATGTATTTTAGGTACATAGAATGCACCGTGAAGACTTGCTGTAAGCGTAAAATTAATTAACCCTTTGCAAGCCGTCTGCAGGCAAGTTATCTGTATTTTTAATTGTGTAAGAACACACTTGTGGACAGTTAGGCTTCTCAATGTAATGAAACAAAAATAATCTAATTTGAAATAAACGTTATTATGACTATACGCCATGGCAAACAGGTTTGCTTGCTATACAAACTATCTATCGTTGTTTTGACGCCATATTGCGCATTCATGGTTGTCATGGGAATGCGTGTTACCGCTGAAACAATTACTAAGGCTCAAACGACTAAAATGGCGAATTTAATGGCAACATATTGGCATAGATTGCGAACTTCGCTGGCTTTGCCGGGATGGTTCTGCGAACCAAACGCTTTTGCGAGTGCGCTTTCCTAAATAAAAGGACAACAAAGCTTATTCTTCAACGCGTAAAAGTTGGAATTGTCTGTATGTTCATGTCTAAACTTAAAGAATTGTGGCTGGGGGGAACGTCTTTTCGTCATCGACTCATAAATCGTGATTACACAAACTAAATTTTCATCGATGCAAAGTTGAACAATAAAGAGCAACCTCATAGCCAGCTTTTGCAATAAAAAGGTAAACTTTTAAATACGCTTAACCTTCCCGGCATCGCACCCAATTAAATGCGCAATTTTGTCTTGACTAATGGTCATGAAACAGGTCACGTGATCTGTCAATCACAAGCTTCAACATGCCAAATGTTTCACAGGGTCCACCGATACAGCATTAACCTTAAACAAGATATTGTTTGTGTATTAAATAATTTATAATATTTTTTTTCATTTTCACTGAGTTGCATTCCCAGCAAAGCCATGGACCCAGGCATTAATACACTTGAATTTCAAACTTCTGTTATATCACCACGATGTCGACAATTGCTTTTTACTTTTCCACTTTACTGTCTTACAGTAAGACTCTTGCCGAATATCGGCATGATTTATCTATTCCCGACTTAAATAGTCAAGTTGACAAAGTCAACATCCTTATAATATCAATTTTACATGTGAAATGTGAAGGTTTACCATATGTGAGGTCAGTGTGGAAGGTTTAATGTGGAACACTCTACTCAACACTGATACCATAAAACAACTGATTGGGAAAAAGCCATAACACTTTTTGCAACTCTGGTAACTGAATAGCAGATCTCACGCAAGGAATGGTTACTTGGAAATTTCTGTGTACCAAAAGCCTACTTTCACGTTTCACGGGTCTAATTACTCGTAATTTTCATATTTTCTGATAGTTTCACATTCAATTTCAATTTTCAAACGTATAGTCCTCACTGTTGTACCGCTTTTAACATCTGTTCTAGCCACGAGAATTTTCATGCTCAGCTGGAGTTACTTATTAGTTGAAATGGCTATCTTTAGAACTTTAATTTTAATAAAGATTGTCCCGGTGGAAATATAATTGTCCGGTTTTCAGGTGAAATCAACTGGGTAAAAATTATCACCAGTCACTCTTTTCACGAATTTTTGGTGAATTCATGACGTTTGTAGCTCTGCATACTTTTGCTCGCCTTGCAATACATATTATTGTTAAATCAAGAGTTCAGTGAGAGTCAGTAGAGTCAATCACATATACGATTATCAGATTATGAGGATATACATACAGCTATTTCAATTAAAGTTGTCCCCGAGCAAAGCAGAAAAGTCGAATACGAGCGCGAAAGGCCAAAAGGCTTGCTGAGAATCGCTAAAAAAATGAATTTTTTAGCGATTCCCATGCAGCTAGGGTTTTTGCACTATTCTACATTAAATATCCAGGAGACATTGACAATGCTCTCCTGAACATTGCAATTTGTGCTAGAACAATTAAACAAGTGAGTAAAGTAGTTTGAAACCACTTGCGCATATTTTTAATCTGACATTTACTACAGGTATTATTTCTGAACAAATTAAAACTTCCCTAGTAACACCGGTTTTCAAATCAAATGAAGAAAATAAATTTGGAAACTATAGACCAATATCAGTTTTAACTTGTTTCGCTAAATTACTTGAAAAATTAATGTACAAACGACTAATAAAATACGTTGAAAAAAATAATATTTTATCTGACCATCAATATGGATTCAGAAAAAACAGATCAACCTCTGAACGTGCAATTATAATCGAACTTGTTAACAAAATTGCAAAAGAAATCGATCACGAAAAATACACGATAGGTATTTTCTTAGATTTGTCAGAAGCATTTGACACCATTGATCACAAGATTACGGAATTCATGACATAGCAAAACTTTGGTTTGAAAATTATCTTACAAACAGGAAACAAATTGTAACATATAAACAAATAATGTCAAGTGAAATGACGATACAAACTGGGGTCCCACAAGGTTCAATATTGGGTCCGCTACTTTTTATCCTCTCTATATATGAACGATATTCAAAACTGTAGTGATATAGCATCAATGCTATATTGTTTGCTGATGATCCAAATATATTTTATAGTCACTCAAAACACTAAATGAAACTCTTCAGACGGAAGTGGACAAAATAGCCAAATGGCTAAACACAAACAATCGATCCTCTAAAAAAAAAAAGAAACACGTAGTAAAGTTATCCATCAATAACGACGATATCAAACAAGTCAAAACTACAACCTTTTTAGAAGTAGTTATTGATGAATGTTTATCATGGAACGATCATATCGATTCCGTTGCAAAGAAAATTGTAAAATCTGCAGGAATTATTGCAAAAATTCGTCATTTTACAAATTTGAATAAAACTAATATACTATGCTTTAGTCTATCCATATCTAATCTATGGGAATCTAACATGGAGTAACACATACAAAACGAGAATTCAAAAGTTAACAAATATACTCAAAAAAAAATAATTCGTCTGATGACATTTCAGTCCAATTTTTCTTACACTGAAAAAATATTTATTGACCTACAGATCTTGAATCTTAGTAAGTTTAATAATTACTTTACAAGTCTTTTCATTTTCCGATATCATCATTTAAATAACTTGCCAAAATTCTTCACAAACTTCTTTATTTCCAACAACCAAATTCACCAATACAACACTCGACTAAAGTTTCGATAAGTCTTATCAGAGAACTAATTACGTCAAGCACTCGCTTTCAGTGAAAGGGGTGGACGTTTGGAATAATCTTGACAGTAATTTAAAAATAATAACATTACGCGTCCCATTTTTAAGAAAAAATTCAAAATACACTAAGTATGTAAATAATCTCAGTATAACACTTTAACTGTAATTTCTCTTCATGTAAATAGATACTTAACTCAAGCTTCTCATTTTAACTATTAATAGTATATACTCTCCTTCTAATATTGATTGCAACATTTTATCCTCACTTTTTGTAAATGCTAGAACCGGTACTAGAACCGATGACAATTTAACTATATATGTATTAGCACCAAGACTTTAATAAACTAGGGGTCGAAATCCAAAAGCCTGTTCAAGGTTTCTATAGACTCCTAGCCGAAACGTATCTACTTTATTTTTATGTATATACGGGTATATCACATGGGCAAATGATTAAATAAAAAATAAATTTGCTACTTTTGTGTTGAAAGTCTGTTACCATGGCAACAGCATGCTTAGGGAGTGATCATTATTTATGGGGGGAGTTGGTAAATTGGGAAAATAAGGATTGAAAACCTTTTTGACCCCCCCCCCCTCCAGACTGAAGGCAAACTTTGTTCCTCCTCCTTATAAGTGAAACTTTTTTCTGACCCCAGCGCGGATTGTAAAATTAACATCAATGAAACAGGTGTGCGTTGGACAATTATTATTAGGACAATCTGTTTAATCTAGCTCATGATGTTTTAGCCTGGTGAATATGATTCAACCATATTATATGATTACAAAATATATATTATCTGTTGCTACTTTAATAAAACACAAAACAATAGACACTCTACAGATTGTAAACACTTTAATTCTTAATTATTAAAAATTTAAATGTTTACAATTAAAATGTTTACAATTAAAATATTTACAATTAAAAATTAAAAATGAGAATTAAAATGAAAATGTTTAGAATTAAAATGAGAATTAAAATGTTAACAATTAAAATGTTAACAATTAAAATGAATTAAAATGTTTACATCTTAAGAATTAAAATGTTTCATTTTCGGAGTGTCTATTGTTTTGTGTTTTATTAAAATACTCTATGGCAACCGCAATTGTTGTGTTACTACTTTGCAATGCAACATTTGTCCCACCAACAAGGGTGTCAATCTATCCCAAAAAGTGGGGGGAGGGGACGGATTCCAAACTAGGCAGGTCCGGAGGTATGCTACCCGAAATTCTTTTTAAATTTTGGTACACTGAAACGGCATTCCCAGCGTTTTGGAGGCACTTAAAAAGTTATATTACGATGTGCATGATCTTAAATCCATGTGAGAAATGTTAACCATGTGAGAAATCCGCTAGAAACCAACATGTCCTAGCCTGTGAACAGATGTTACTCTCGACGAGCATGTCCGCACTCTTATTTTAATGTTAATAATCTATTAATTAAATTAACCACTTGCCTTATTTTGATCATAATTATCTATGCTTATAAAAGGCATTTTACTGATGAAAGATATTGAATGGCTATGCGTTTCACAATTGTTGCGTTGCCTATCAGCTATCATGTTACTTATGAGAAATATATTGAGCTTCTACGGCCTGACGAGGTTGCTATGCGTTGCTATAGAAAAAATGCAAGTGAGCAATCAGATACAATTTTGATTCTCTGATTTTGATTGAAAGCCGTATTATAATTACTGAAACAATCAGGGCGTAGGAAGCTTCTAACAGTTGTGTGTGTGTGTGGGGGGGGGGCAGGCTTTGAGGGGCACTTTTCGAGAAAAAAAGGGCATCTAAAAAATTTTTCCTGGAAATGTTGGCGACCGGGGGGGGGGGGGGTCATCTCAAAAATATTTTCCGGATATATAATGTTTTCCTAAATACGAAAACATTTTCCCGGACAAAGCAAAAAATTTTCCGGATATATAATATTTTTCTCAGAAATGAAAACATTTTTCCGGAAATAACATAGATTCAAGTTTTCAGAATTTAAGTTCCCTTCGGGTAAAAGAGGTAATCTTATTGAAAATTCTTAACGCAAAAAAGAGCACTTTGCTCCCGGAAAATGGGCACTTGGCAAAACTTGGGGGCCTGCCCCCCTGTTCCTACGCCCCTGGAAACAATTCATAGTTAATTCTCAAGGCAAAAAAGGCAAAATTGTACTTTTGAACGTTTTTTTTGATAGCCTTATAAAAGGCATTTTACTGATGAAATATATTGAATGGCTATGCGTTTCACAATTGTTGCGTTGCCTATCAGCAATAAAGGACTCAAATTTGACTTAAAAAGAGATTTTACTTATGAAATATATTGAACTTCTACCGTTTGACGAGGTTTTCTATGCGTCGCTAGAGAAAATATAAGTGAACAATCAGGCACAATTTTGATTGTAAATCCGTATTATAATTACTGAAACAATTGATACAAGGTATGTAATATGAGCTCGGTGAGGTTAATTTATAATATTATTAAAGTTACTATTATCTATTACGAGTTTCATTACTTATCTGTTGAAATGCTATAGTACTTCATATAGATAATATTTTTTGCTCTTTCTTTGTTGACATTTTTGGGAAAAATTGAAGCAAATCTTTCAAAGTAAGTTTATTGTTTTGATTACTTTACACTTGTAGTATACTGACAGTATAGTTGAGCCCCCTGTGGCACGTCGCTTATATTTTGTGTTCTGCGCATAGTAAGCGCGCACGACCACAATGCAATGCGCTAAATAAAATTTAATTCAAAACCCCCTCTCTGCACATATTAGAATGCTGCTTCGCTCGCTTGCTTCAGGGCTCGCTAGCTACGCAGCACATATATGGAAAGTTAATCTTTTAAATGAAAATGGTGCTTTTCCCCCTAACAATAGCAACAGGACCACTTGGATGAGACTTAATTCGGGGGCAATATTCACCGCTAATTCTCTTGGAAAAGAACGTTGTGGTCTCCAGTTCACCTGCTTTAGTGTAGCACAGAAGAAAATTGGAATTTTTTTTCTCCACATAGGTTAAGACAATTATTTTACAAATGACATAATGAAATGCCAACTCACGGACTGCGTGACCTTCTGGTAGTTTTATTGTTGACTTCGAATTTCCTTCCCCGGAGTATATATGCACAGCCTGGTCATCGCCTGATGATATCATGATTTCACCCTGCCCACAAATACTCAAACTGAGTGCATAACGTGAGCCTCGCAATTCAAACTTGTGCTTTAATTTTCCAGTATTGTCACAGACATATACCTGGGGATCACCGCCTTTGATCATGATGATATTATTATTCTTGTTTATAGCGATCTTCACATAATAATTTGATACCTCCAGAAATTCCAATCTGCGCGAGTCCTGCTTTACATTGTAGTTCTCGTCCAGTACAGTCAACACGTAACTTAGCACACTGCCCTTTCCCGTACTTGTTCGAACCCATCTCACCACGTAAACATTGTCATTCTTATCAACAGCAAGTCCTGCAATATTTTCCGCGATAACTTTAACTTGACTGGCTTCATGTAATTCAACCACCTTGCTTTCGCCCGTCTTATTTATAATCTTGATGTTGTCAGGTTGTTCTCCAACAATAACATCCCCATGGCTGTTTACAGCAGAATTTCTAGGATCCATTTCTTCATTAAGTATCAGTCCGTTGGGAAGTTGGGTCAGTTCATCACCAATAGATTTTCTTGTCGAAATCTCCTGCCAATCTAATATTGGGTTAAAACTGCGATCAGCAAGCTCAATAGTTGGCCAGGCGAGCATGGTGGAGAACTTGCTGCTGAATTTCGAAACATACTGAAATAAGACACCGTTAATCAGCATTACCGACCGTACGTTCTCGACTCGCTCGCTTTTATTCAGTAACGACTTCAGCCCCCCATTGAGGTACACCGAGAATGTGTCTTCAATGGTAGGTAAGCTATGTAACTTTTTCAGAAACGATAGACATCCTGTAATCGCGGTTTCAGGGCTTTCGAGATATTCCAGTACTTCGGAAACTATTCGTAGCTTCGCAGCGAAAATCCTATCTTTAATGCTTAGTGTCTCATTAGAAAAAGCATGGGTTGCTGTCTTACGGGCGTCTTTGAATCGTTCTTTAGTGGATTCAAACTCTTTATCCGAATTGATTTTCAACTTTCCCATGGCGCGAGAAAGCTCTAAGGCTTCGTTTAAGATCCCAGACTGTTCGAGCTTCAATTTATTCAGCGACACATTGAATAAATCTACTCCTTCTTGTAGGAACTTGTAGCTGCTAAGCAGGTCTTTGTTGCGCAAGAGACCATGAAGTTTCGTCTTGATGTCGTTTAACTCGCTCACGACAATCTCTCGAATGTTTTCATCTGGAACTTCGCCGCCTTGAAGTATAGCCGCAGTCGAATCACGAGCCTTGTTCCACAGCAAGCCTACGGTTGAGCTCAAGATGCTTGTCACTATGGAAGACATGGTAGTTTCAGTTCAATGATTAAAACGATGAAAAAGTTCAAGTTATATATACGTCTCGCTCGATGAAGTGTTGTCAATTGAAATATTTTACATGATGCAATGTTCATTTATCATTGCTAAATATCTCCCACAGTTTACTTACAATACTTGGTTTGAAAAGGCAACATGGGAGGTAAGAAACTATCTTAGCATTTGAATGGAAAATTGGACGAACTGGTTTTGAATTGCGTCACGGCACATTTCATTGAACCATTCAACCGATGAACTGCATAATATAGCCAGTTTTAAAGACTAAAGTCTTCTCACATTTGATTTTTTAAATAAAATAGTTGCTACAAAACGGGCATGATATTTCTTGTATAAAAGTCGAAAACTTAGTCGCGTAGATGATAGTTTCAAAACAGGCACTATATATAGATAATACCATAACATGCAACTTTCCCACTTAGCGTGGGTGTTCATTAATTTGATTTTCGAACTTTCTGCATGGTAGGACACAACGAATATATATACATACATATTTCAAAATGTACAAAACGTTAATGGTTATAATCATTGAATGTATGGAGTTGGTCAAACCATATATCTCTCTGTATGGCCAATGTACATTTCACTACTAGAAAAATATTTTGAGATCATGGAATGTTATCTGATTTATAATCGCTAGTAAACTCTCTCCTCCGCAGAGCTTTCCTGGCTTTTTAACAATGCGAAGCTTCGATATCAGGGGCCGGTTGTATAAAAACGTAGTTAGCGCTAACTGCAGTTAAAAAGTAGTTAAAAAGCCTTAAAAAATAGTTAACTTTAATCACGTAGTTAAGCCGGTTGTATAAAAGTGTAGTTAGCCTTAACTGCAGTTAAAAAGTAGTTAAAGTAAACTATGCTTTAGGGTATAGTTATAAACTGTCCAAAATGTAGTTAAAAATGGCGTTTGTATAGGAGTGAAAAACATTTTTCAGTGAAACAACAATGAAAAGCAACGCTTACCTGAGATTTTCAATCGCTATCTTCCCTGTGAATGTTTCCTGACAATATAAACTCTTCAAACGCTATCGCTTTGGTGTTTTACGAAAACAGAACATATTTTTGCACAGGACGATTTCTCGACGACGAAGTATTGTCCATTACACCAAGAAACACTGATATATAATTGCCAAACAGCTATACCTTGGTTTAACGTAGACATCTCAAGGAAAAACTGGAGTGCCTTCTTTTATGATTTTTGTCGCGGTTTTTCCTTGTTTACTTCTTGTTTATTAATAATATTTTTCACTGTTTTCTAGTGTTTTGAATAAAATTCCCGCCTATTTGCAAAATACGAGTCCACAATCATGTCAAAAATGCGTGTCAGCGGTTGTTACTCGCTGCTTACTTTATGTAATTTTGTGTTTAAACGCCCCACGCACAGTTAACTACGTGATTAGTTAACTATCCAACTAACTACGTTTTGTGCGACGCAGTTAAGTCATGTAGTTAACTAATTACAGTTAAGAATTTAGCTACAGTGATTAACGTTAACTACAGTTAGCGTTAATTACGTTTTTATACAACCGGCCCCAGGCGATTTGTCCGTCTTTCTAGAATCCGAGGGATCGAGCACGCTGCTCCGTCTCTCTGGAGTCCGAGGAATCGTGCAATAACGCGGGAAAGTTTCATGAATTATTATTCTTCTGTCACTTCTGACATTTTATTTTGGTATACTGTTTTGTGTTAGCATATAAAAATTGAATTTGTGTTCGTATAGGTAATGGTATATATGGTTTCGAGTGCAATGTAGGAAATTAAACACTATAGTGCACGAGTGAGTTTTTCAAAGACGATCAAAATTTCACGAGGCCGAAGGACGAGTGAGTGCATGCAATTTGAAATCTTTGAAAACTCATGAGTGTAGGTTTTTCCAAATTTTACGAGAAACTGTACTATTACTTATTAATAATATACATGAAAATATTGTGCATTTTAATATGACCAATTTTATTAGAAAATCTACTATTAATTTTGTCACTCGGTAAATGTTTGAGTAGTTTTGTATTATTTTCACTTTTTGTGCTGTATTTCACCTTTTGGCACTCATGTATTTCGAAAAAATTGCATTGCTCTTAGCCAATCAGAATTGAGAAATTTTTTCATGTATATTATAGCATCAATCTCGTTCCCAGATTATGCCTGTTCGCGGGTTATGTAGCATGCAATCTCGTTCCCAGATTATGCCTGTTCGCGGGATATGTAACATGCAATCTCGTTCCCAGAATATGCCTGTTCGCGTGTTATGTAGTGGCATGATGCCATTACATAACCCGCGAACAGGCATACTCTGGGAACGAGATTGTTATAGCATGAGAAACGAGCCAGCCCGGCTAGGCGATCGAGATTTCGCTTTGCACTCGGTGGCATCTCAGTCAAGTGGGATAAAATTTTCCACAATCATAAACGTTTTATCACACTTTAATGGGTGGACTTTTTGCCGATTTGGACCTATGATAGCCTTATATTATTAGCTATTAAACGGCATAGAAACAAGCAGGTCTGCAGGTCATGTACATGTAACTGGACTCTACAGGGTGTATCAGAAAAAAGGAGACCGTTAGAAATCAAGCATATTGTTAAAATTTGAATGCCATTTCAATTGCACATATGCGAACCGTGGTGCGTGAAATATTGATGGAGTGCATATATTAGAAAAAGGAGACCTTTAGAAATCAACCATTGTTATCATTTGAATCCTGGAGCACACAGACAAACTTTTGTTTAAACGTTATTTCAAATTCTAAAGGTCTCCTTTTTCTAATATATGCACCCAGCATATGTACAATTGAAAAGGCATTCAAATTTTAACAATACGGTTGATTTCTAAAGGTCTCCTTTTTTTGATACACCCTGTATATCAACACTTCAAAAACCATTAATAATCCAGGAGGAAAACACAAAGAAAAATCATAAGCGTGTCGTGGTTTTATATGTGATAAAAAATCATGTTAATTTACATAAACTTTACGGCTTTGATTTTCTCGGTTTAGACAAAGTTTATTTTAAAAATTACTTCGCCAATGAACTCGTATAAGATGAGTCGTTTTAGTGAAGCCATTTAAAGCACTTGTAGTCGTGTTTTATCAGATATAAAACACTCCGCTACGCGTCGTGTTTTATATGTGATAAAACACTCCTACGCGTTCTTTAAATAGTACATAAATGTGCCGCAATTTGTTAATTGTCAAAGGCCTTTTGCGTGCAGGATGAACTTATCATTATTCAAACAGTTTCATGGCCCTCAAATAAATTATCAATAAAATGTTATTGCGTATCCGACAACAGGTTTTGCAATGAAGAGGGGTTTCTGCATGCAATGTATTATAAACAAGAAATTCAAATTAGATAAAGTGTATTTATATATGTAAGTATGAGGACTTTGTTCACAATAGGCCCCATGCAAAGGGAGAATTGCGGCGTTAAAATCTTGTCAAGAGGATCATGGTAGAAGAACTGCAGTATGGCAAAGTGTCCGCGGTTTTCGATCGTAATGCGCAATTAACAAAATCACGAAAGTATGTGACAGTGTAAACGTATTTCAAAGACCAAACTCTTGATAACGTCACACTCATTATAAAACACTTCAGTACTTGGCGTTTAATATCTATGGTTAGCCTGCGAACAGGCTCTCTTTGAACTCTCTTTGAAATTTGAGAGAGAGCCTGCCGGCCTAGCTAATAAAAACGCGTCTGTGCGTTGCTTAGAACGACGCAGGGTTCCCATTGGTTGAAATTGAGTAGTTGGTTATTAACTGTGATTATACTGCCATAAAAGGTAATGCAATTTACACAACAATAGATTCAAGGTGTCAACTGACAACACAAAGTGCGGACTGCGGAAATCGAAAAATATCGTTCTATAGCGATAAAAAATGTACTATTAGACGAGTTGTATAGAAAACTAAATTTTTGTTTAAGTTAAAGGATGGGCAGTCAAAAGCTCTTAACAATATTCTAGACGGAAACCATATTTTTGCTGTATAAGACAGTTTGGCAAATACAACGGCAACGTTCTAGTATCAACAATAGCATCTTTACTCCAAGACAAAGGCGACTATAATTTGCATTCTTGAGCATTCTAATACGCCGTAGTTGTTCAAACTCAAGTCGTTGCGGTGTTTATGTGAATTCACTTACTATTGCTACTTCAGGGAATTTCAGGGTTGTTTGAAAGAAAGACAAGTGCTTTTAAAAGTTTAGTAATGTATGTTTTCGCTCAAATTCAAAAGTATAAGTAATTTTGTTTTCTGCTCTCGCCCTTGTTGCCGGGTTGCCAAACTCACCAATGACACCAGTATTACCGACAGGCTACTATATAATATAGACGAGTCTCACGTCATTGAGACGTGGACTGGAGAAAGGAAAATACAAATTCAAAATGCACATTTTATTTTTATGCATGTCCCGCATAATCTTTCAGACCATTCTGGACCTCTCTCACAAACAATCCCGATATTTTGCAAAAGAACTTCAAAACTATCTTGCCCTACTGTTGCCTTGAGCAAGTTCACTATTGAAACGGACTTTCATGTATCTCCGTATGTTACTTTTAAAGAAGCATTGCAACAACGGCAAAATTCGTTCACATGTTCAGCGTTTTTTTGCGTGTAAATGTTTTTGGAGTTTCTTTCTCCAACTTGACATTACAGACTTGTTGTAAACAATCATGCGTTGAAATCGAGATTTGCGTTTTGTTTACCTATATTCGCAGGCTAGGTTGGAATAAAACGCGGATGCGGACGGACGGACACGCGGACGGACCGACACGCGGGCGGACGGACGGACACGCGGACGGACGGACACGCGGACGGACGGACGGACACGCGGACGGACGGAAAAAGGGTTAAAATGTGAATGCGGACAAAAAGGATAAAATGCGGACTGTTTCATTGCCCTAACATAATTCGTTATTTCGGAGACACAATTCATAGACTTAGTACACGGTAAATTCCAGCTGGAGTTTCAGCCGCTTGCCGAAAATGCATTGTAATTTCATTTTAGTTAGTATATGCAAGGTCATAGAGAATTGTGCTGGGTTTTTTCTCCCCGTAGTAAAATACCATTACGGTGGTGTTGATTTCTGTAATTTGATACAAACAGCAGTCTATATATTCGTAATACCATACCTGTTCTATACCTATACATTTATATTATTACGCCTTCCTTGCATTGAAAACACTCAAATTTCAAGAAAAATGCGTTAAAATTATCAATATTTCATGCAAAAAAGTTGTTTTGAGAAACGTTGGAAATTTTGAAGTTCATATATATATTTAATTAATAAAAAAAGAGCATGTCAGCAGAAGATGACATATTCCTCGCGGAAGCATCGCCAATAGCCGACCGAAAAAAAATAGTAGAAAATTACCTTATGTGTACTATAAAAAGAAAATATGTGATAACTATGAAAATCTCGATAACTATGAGCCTGAATATCAAAGCAGGGTCGTAGGAAGCTTGTAAAAGTTAGGGGGGGGGGACTCCCATGAGGCGCCACCATGGTTGGCGCCGCGTCATATATGGCATATTGATATTGTTTAACATCAGTAATTATATACTAACATTATCATAAACATCGAAACTTCCGGTTTTAACGCTAGTCACTCACGTGACTGCTGGCACTTCGATAATACGAAATGCTCTGTAAAAACATACTGTTTTATCGTTCGTTATTTGTGAGTCTTTCTTCTTTACTGGGGTGGTGGCAGCGATTTATTTCCTTATCCTTCGATCTCTAACACAGCAGAAATCATAATATACATCTCAGAAGAAAGTTTCTCGGACCCAAACTAGGTAAAGCGAGGCAGTTTTCAGCTGTTCTACGAATCAGAGCTCGTACAGCAAAAGACCTTGTGAGTGCCCATACTAAACGTATGTCAATTGTTCGTATAGTTAGTTCCCAAAACAGTGGTCTCTCACAAAACAAGAAACAATAACATCGTTTGAAGCATGGCGTCAAAATTTACAATATACATTATCGTTAGACCCAAACTTCGCCTCATTTTTGATCGATGGGGTAACTTGGCTAAAAAAGACCACCGCCGCTCCACTTCGCGGTTTCGAAAATGATGCCGATACTGTACCTGTAGCACGCCGTCGTACTGCGGAGCACAAAGCAGCCCAACTGGAGCTTATATTGGGCCAAATAGCCAATTATTGCCCTGTAATTTCCCGAAATACTATTGTCAAACTGTCGCATCCCTCAAACCTGAAATTTCCCAAGCACTAGATTCCCTCCTTGACGAAATTAACTCTGCCAACGATGCCAAAGTCCTCCATACCGCTTTCCAACAATTCCTCAAACACCCTCAATCCAGTAGTCGCCGTCAAACCCCTACAGCTCTACCACGGACATCTAAAACCCCAACAAAAAGTTGCCCCTTGTGTAGACAAGCAGGTTGACAACACCAACACTACCTGAGTAAGTGCCCCTACCTCCCAGTCAAAGACAAGAAATACCTATCCCACTCAAGACAGGTAGTCGGCACAGAACCGGGCAACCCGCTATCTGATTGCGAAGTAGAAGACTCACAAGATTCCCACAACTACCGAATCAAGAATACCACCAACCGAGTTAGTGTTAAGCAGTCACCCCATCTCCAGGCATTCTATGCCCATCACCCACTACTCTTGACATTAGACACAGGAGCAGAAACAAGTATGATAAAGACCAGCATTGCCAATGAAATTGGAGCTACTATACACAAGACTACTCAGAAAGCCCTCCAAGCAGATGGTATAACCCAGCTAGCCGTCGTCGGAGAAGTCCATTTGACTTTGTCCCGTAACCACCTTAATTTGTAGTTGGATGCACTTGTCGTTGATAGTTTGGACGTCGATGTACTATCCGGGATTCCTTTCATGATCACCAATGACATCTCCCTCCGGCCATCCAAGCAAGAAGTCACCATTCAAGGATGCGAGAACATGTATTATGGCTCCAGACAACCAGCTGGTACCATAGGCTCGGTCCGACGAACACAAACTACAGTCCTTCGTGCCCCATCATCCTCCACCGTAATTTGGCCAGGACAGTACATTGAATTAGATGTTCCCGATCACGTAGACCCAGATTCTATCCTTGCCCTAGAACCCCGTAAGGATTGTTCCAGATCAGACTGTGAGTGGCCAAGCCCCCATATTGTACAAGCAGTCGCAAGAAAGATTCGTATACCCAATCAGACCCCTCACCCTAAACATATCCCTCGTCATGACCATCTGTGTCAGGTCCTACCAACCTACATCCTATATCCACACCCCGACGTTCCCAAATCTAGCAACAGCACCCTAGTAGCACCCTCCTCTCCTACACCCCATGAACAATCCTTATCTGTTCAGCTAGACCCCGATTCTATCCTATCAAAGAGCATGCACTCCGAATTCAGCCGGTTAGTTAAAGAATATGACGATGTTTTTGATAAAAATATCTCTGGATACAACGGTGCTGCCGGTCCCTTTAAAGCTGTCGTAAATATGGGCCCAGTACAACCACCACAACGCAAAGGCAGACTCCCCCAATATGCTCCGAACAAGCTGGTCGAGCTTCAACACAAATTTGACGAGCTTGAATCGTTAGGCATTTTTCAGCCCCCTGAAAACCTTGGCATAACCGTTGAATACCTTAATCCATCATTCCTCATTAAGAAGCCATGTGGAGGACACCGACTAGTCACTGCCTTTACTGATGTTGGTCGATACAGCAAGCCACAACCATCTCTATTATACCCGATGTCGATTCTACCCTCCGAACAATCGCCATATGGAAGTACATCATCGTATCCGACCTTATAACCAGCGCTTTCTATCAGATACCACTTGCTACAGGGTCCATGAAGTACTGTGGCGTTGTAACTCCATTCCGCGGCGTTCGAGTCTACACCCGATCAGCTATGGGCATGCCAGGGTCAGAAACAGCCCTCGAGGAGCTCTTGTGTCGCATACTCGGTGATTGCCTAGAAGATGGAATCGCTGCAAAGCTTGCAGACGACTTGTACTGCGGTGCAGACTCGCCTGAGGAACTGCTCATCAACTGGAAGAGGATTCTAGACGCCCTCCAAAAGTGCAATATCAAGCTTTCTCCATCCAAAACCATTATTTGCCCACGCAGTACCACCATCTTAGGCTGGATTTGGACACAGGGATGCCTATCCGCAAACACAGAATTGCTACAATGTCATCGTGTCCGCCTCCCGATACGGTACGGGGTCTTCGGTCTTTTATAAGAGCCTACAAAATTCTCGGACGTGTTTTACCACAGTGCGCACATATCATTGCACCATTAGAAAGTGCCATTGCAGGACAATAATCATGTGACAAGATCAAGTGGTCAGATACTCTGTCCCAACAATTCAAGTTCGCTCAATCCTCCCTGGCGAATAACAAATCTATTACCCTTCCCAAACCATCCGACAAACTATGGATAGCAACCGATGGCTCTGTAACCAAAAGAGGAATCGGAGCTACCCTTTCCGTATCACGTCATCAAACCCTCCTCCTCTCAGGATTTTTCAGTGCCAAATTAAGAAAGCATCAGGTGAACTGGCTGCCATGTGAGATTGAAGCATTAAGCATCGCTGCCGCCGTGAAGCACTTTAGCCCTTTCATAATCCAATCACATCACCCCGCTTGTATCCTCACAAATAGCAAGCCATGTGTTTAAGCCATCAACAAACTGCGTCGAGGTGAATTTTCAGCGAGCCCTCGCGTTACGTCATTTTTATCCATCATCAGCAGGTACCAAGCGGACATACAACACTTCGCTGGCTCAGCGAACGTTCCCTCGGATTTCGCCAGTCGAAACGCACCAGGGTGCAATGTACCGAAATGCCAAATTTGTAACTTCATTTCAACCACAGAAGATTTCGCAGTTCGGTCCACCTCCATCCAAGACGTACACCACCTCCCCCGCTTACCTTTTACAACCCGATCTGCCTGGATCCAAATACAATCCGAGTGTCCCGACCTACGCAGAACAAATGCTCACCTGAAACAAAGAACACGTCCCTCTAAGAAATTAACAAATGTAAAGGATGTTAAACGTTACCTAAATTCCCTGTCCATTGCCAAAGATGGTATATTAGTGGTTCGTAAAACCGACCCTTTATCACCCTCCACCGAGTTGATCGTAGTACCACGCTCCGTACTTGACGGTCTTGTAACAGCCTTACATATAAACTCGACCACCCGTCAAAACACCAACTCCAACTGGTAATTGAGAAGCAACTTCTTCGCACTTGACATGCAAGCTTCCATCGCTCGGGTGAGTGACACGTGTCACATATGCGCCTCCCTGAAAAAGCTCCCACCTCAAGTTGTACAGCATAGCACGGAAGAACCAAGGTCGTTGGAGTTTCATTTGCCGCAGATGTCCTTAAGCGGTGTAAACAAGCTATTATAGTCGTTGGCGAAACAACAACATCCTTTACCGCAACGTCTATCATCCACGACGAGAAAGCCAACACACTTCGTGATGCCCTAGCTAAGTTATGCAGCGAGCTGCACCCCCTGGAAGGTCCACCGGCCATCATCAGAGTAGACCCCGCCCCTGGTTTTGTTGCACTGAGAACCGACCCAACCCTTAAACGCCTCGGCTTATCCCTAGAGATCGCACACGTTAAAAACACTAATAAAAACCCAGTGGCAGAGAAGGCCATCGCTGAACTCGAAGAAGAAATCCTCCGCCAAGCACCCAATGGTGGTCCAATATCGACTGTTACCCTTGCCATCGCAACATCTCGACTAAATTCCCGCCTCCGGAGAGAGGGACTCTCGGCTCGCAAGCTGTGGACACAGCGAGATCAGTTCACTCATGATCAACTTCACATATGTGATCGCAAAGTAATCCAAGAGCAACATTTACAACGAAAAAAAAACCACCCATATAGTGAGAAATCGAAAAACCGAAATAGGAATGGGTCTGCATCTCCTACAATTAACATCGGGGACTTGGTTTGTTTAGTCGCTGAGCGAGATAAGACACAACCCCGCAGTAGATACTTGGTCATATCTGTGGAAGATCCATGGTGTGTCATCAAGAAATTTTCAGGTAATTAACTGCGTGCTACATCATATAAAGTTAAAACTACTGATTGCTTGATCGTCCCAAACCGGTCAATCTCGAGTACACCATGTCCCCGTCGTGACAGGGACAGTTCCGATGAAGAAGTGTGTGAAGAATGCCCATATCAGACAAGTAACGTTCCGCCTACGTGAACAACCGCAGCCGACAACAGCACCTCGCCAACCACTACTCAGCGCCCTCAACGCAAACGCCAGTCTCCAGATTATTATGGATATTAGAGAACAAAGTATTACGTAAATTGTTTATATTGTAGTTATAGTAACAGTCATCTTTCGTTGACACTAATTTAAGAAGAAGACACCACACCATATATGGCATATTGATATTGTTTAACATCAGTAATTATATATTGACATTATCATAAACATCGGAACTTCCGGTTTTAACGCTAGTCACTCACGTGACTACTGGCACTTCGATAATACGAATTGCTCTGTAAAAACATACCGTTTTATCGTTCATTATTTCTGAGTCTTTCTTCTTTACTGACGCCGAGCTAGAAACATTTTGAAAATTTGGAGTCTCCAGATCGTCGGAAATGGCACTTTTAGGCTCTTCTCTTAAATTCTGTTATTGTGATTTGTCAGCTATCTGTGAGCCAGGATGGATGATTAATATTACAGTCACTTGCCGATGAATCGCGATGATCAATGCAATTGAACTCGCACTTATATGTCATACTTTATGTACTCGCAAAAAATGTTGTTATTAAAATAACAATAAACAATTGCAGATACATTATTAATATGATATATACGGTTTCGAATACTTCCAGTTTCGAGAATTTTGCAGTAATTTTGATATTATTTTTCAAATCCCATAAAATATTTGGGGTTCCTGCAACCATGCTGTTTTGCAACGTTTTTCCCCCCACCAAATACTGGGGCAGGATATTTTCTCCCAGTTTGTTAGTGCAGGTATATTTTTTTGTTCAGAATAGCCTTGCAGGAAATTTTATTTCAAAATCACCCCCCCCCCCC